GGGCGAAATCTAAATGTAGTCAGCGACCAAATTTTACTGAAATATGCCAAGTGCCTTGCCGCTGACATTCCTTTCAATATTTGAATTTTTATTAATATTATTCGTGCTTATATATGTATATTTACTTTGCGATTTTAATACTAAATCTTGTGTATATGTGTATTTGGTTCAATGTGAAAATGACAAATACTTCTAATAATCCTGCGAGTATGTGAGAACTTAATAAATCAGACCCCGGGACTTCACAAATCGCTAGCAATTTGATCTTTATTACTAATATACGTTTAAGTTTACTAAGTATTTTGCGGTATTAATTTTGATAGACAATATTGAAAATGAACATACATCATTCACTCACAGAACAGACTTCCATTCTATGCATTCACTAATACCATCTGTGACGTGAGATTTGTCGATATCGATGCATTTAATCCCAAACAGACTGCGTCTAAATAAATAATTATACATTTTTTACATGTTTGATGATTCAAGACAGGGGTTACTGTGAATTAAAAAAACAAATCGCTAATATTACAATGCTTTTTTTTTAATTCACATAGATCGACTAAAAGGAATGACGTCTCTAATAAAGAATGAATATTTTTGGAGTACATACACTGCAAATATGCTATACCACTATAAATTGTGCATCGCCCCTGCCCTTCCTGTTCTTATTTGAATGCCATACACGTACATGATGAACTATAATACTATACATAATTATAAGAAACATGGATTGTACTATAAATATATAGTGCCCAAACAACGCTTTGTGTACATTATTACTTATTTTGGAACGACATTTTCGTATATAAAAATGTTAAATCTACATTTAACTATAAAAAAACTTTACAAATCTATTAACAGTACAAGTACGGTGGTTAATTTAGATATTTCATTTTATATTCAATATTAATACAACTTGCGGAGTTATTAACAAAACAAATATAAATACAATATAAAAAAAATTAAGAATTTAAGATTTTTTATTATTTATCCTAATACAGATTATTACCCTGATACAGGCTAATGGAATAGACTAGTATAAAGAAAAACAAAACTCAAATTCAATAATTTAATTATTTTTACGTCAATACATTAATTTCTTGTGTGCCAAAGGATTGTTCTTAGTTTTATTACTGCTTGTTTACCTAACATATCCTATTCACATTGTAAACTATACATAGCATGGCAAGATTATTTAAATGTACGTACGTATGTACTTATTTAAAAGTAAGGAATATAATAGAAAGTCATTAACATTGATTTAGGGTCGGCTATAATACTATTATATTTTAACGCTGTTACGCTAGTAGAGAGAACGAAATATCAATGTTTTTATCCTTATAAAGATCCATCTCTTTATGCAGTTTCATAATTAAAAAAACAGGTTTTTTTACAACGTAACTGAATAATAACCATACGGCCCAACTGATGGTAAACGCTTACCATAGCCTATGTAATATGAAACTCCACTAAATCTGCATTGCCGACCCTAATTTACTGTATAATGTCAAGTTTTTAAATAACAAATATAAACAAACGACTCAAGCGTGTCAATTCATTTAGTACTTAAACTGAAGAAATATGTATTTAGTAAATTAAGTTTTTTTTGTTTTAAATGCTTACTTTTGTAGTATTTTAGAGAACTTGGTATATAAATTTGGATTTGGAACTACATCCCGTTTATATTTTAAAGTATAGGACTTTCGATATCTATTTACGCGGATAAACAAAGGTTACTATAATGAAATATCTAAAATTATTCCGTACATTATAATTACGTTATCATAAATTACTTGAATCACAAGAGCAAGTCTTCTCAACACACCCAATTCTACATATATCTACATTAATGTCCCCACGTTGAGTTTGGAAGAACATTTTGGCATAGGGAGTTATTTCATGCTAGTGCAACAAAAATCAGTCAATTAAAAAATGTGAATCAAGTTATAAGTTGCTGTTTTATACAACGAGGGTAGCAACCAAGCATATGGTTCGCCTGATCGTAAGTTATGGCAACCTATGAAAGCTTGCAACACGGGATGCATTACTAAACCTTGCAAATACGAATGATTCGAATGAAAATGAACTTTATGGTGGAACGTTAGCGTCTACTTTTAAATCTAGATATATTATTTCATTCCAATATTTGAACACCATTTACGGAATTCTTTTTTTTTAACTTATTTCGAACTTTGTGTCTGTTCATAAACTGAACTTTAAGGAATCAGTGACTGTGATGTTACGTTTATGTAATGGAAGAAAATGCTTTTTTATTACTACCATAAGGTTCGTTTTAGCTTAATTCGATATCACTACAGATGAATCGTTAATGAATTATGAAATTATTTAAAAGGCCCTTACAAATAAGAATGAATTTGTATTTTATAATATACAATCATAGTGAAATTGGTCATATTGCACAGTATTAAAAGATAAAATAACGTGTAGACTAAATTATACAAAATAGTCTTATTAAATAAATAACTAAAGAATGAAATATATAAACATTGCCATCTTCACTGCAATGACGTCATTCTTATAGTAATGGCCCTTTAATATACATATTCCATTTCATTATCCCGAGCAACATCTATATTGTCTGTCATATTTTGAGAATAATGAAATCATCAGTGTTAAGAAGACATTCACCGTTTTCCATCATGTATGTACTTTCTCTTTATAAAGTTGTAACTCTGCCACATTTCATCTAATTTTGTAAAAAAAGACCTTTTTTTGTGGTGATAATTTTTGTACCGTTAAATTTTGATTGATGTTTCGATGCTTTTTAATTCCAATATTATCTTTCATAGGACTTATTTATTTAAATAGTTATATATTGTATTTATAACTATTGATTTATGGTTGACAGGTAATACAGACATCGCTAATGTTGCTGTGTAAACCCTCTTAACAAACTTCCTCATACTGAACCTTGTAGATATGTCATATTAAATTCAATGCAACCTATTTATAAACAAGTCTCCTAATTCACATTGCAAACACATAAATAAAAATTAATAAAACATTCTTTAATTAATATTAAATTCTAATATACATTTAAAATGGAAATAAATAATCTAGCTCATAAACTCATTAGAAAATTATGAATAGTTAAATTGTTATAGCGCAGTAATTTGTCGAAACACTTTATAGTTATTACACTCACAAATGGTGCTTACATACTTACTATTTTTATAGGTATATACAATTAAAGAAAATATAAAAATTCGAGGGCAGTGATAAATCTTATGTAGAGGCCGATTATGAAAAATTACTATCTAAATCTATCTCTCCATTTTTAATGGTAACGTGAGAATTAGACATTTTATTATTATAAATATTTTTTATTGCACTTTTGAATATATAATTTATTTTATAGTGTGGCGAGACTGATTATTTGCTATCTATGTCTTTAATTATTTTTCCAAATGAATGAATAATAAATTAAAAAATAGACAGAGAATAATATTTCGAAATCGACCCAATTACTTCCATAAGGTATTAAAAATTATTTACATTTAGTGTAATTTCATTACACGTTGATTCATTAAGTATTTCATATTGATTAAAAATTCTGAAATATTATTATATTCACAAACTTTTTAATTTAGAAATAAGTATACAGATTAAAGTTTCAATATTTCAATCCTGTTTTATACTTGGAGTATAATTTAAAAAACTACCATATACTCTAACATAAATACAATTCGAAATACAATTGTATCATATTTAACAATAAATATGAATTTAAAACGTAACTACCAAGTTGAATACTTTTGATTGACTAATTCACAATATAAAATATAAAATAATAGCTGCTATTCTGAAATCGTTTTAGTGGATATATTTTTTTATAGACAAAATCTGTAAGCACCTCGATACACATGTTATCACAAACCATATTACAATTACGTTGCTATAACTTTATAATTAAATGGAAAATTATGGATACTAACAAAATACTATTTGATTTGGGTACAAAATTTATAAAATATTTTATTACAATAACAATCTTATAGGTATCTAAACTCGGTCGATTTTAAGTATTTGATATGACATGTTAATTATTTTTAATTTAAAATACAATGTACAATTCTACATTTATTATAAGGGTCATATTGAAATACTTAAAATCAAACCATATAATTGGTTTGATGAGACTGGGAGTTGAGTACAATTCCTCGTAAGGAAAACCCACTATCAGTTTTATCTCGAGATCTATACGACACAGATTTCAATGTACATTAAAAGCTAGTATGCGACGTTATTATTTATTATCATGCATATATTCACAATCATTTAAATTGTACATAGGTTTAAATATTAGCATAGCATTCAAAAGGTAAATTTCCTAGCAATTGTTTACTGGAATACAGACTTTAGAAATAGCAAAATATTATCATCAGCATCCATTAAATAAAACATAGTATAATATCCAACCACTAGGAATGTCATAAAGTAATATCAAAAACGTATTTTTTTAAATTCTACAATACATATCTCATGTGAACATTAAGTGATAATATTATTGTGAATTTTAATATATAAAGCAACCTGTTTTGTGCAACACTACTAAAAATCTTAACAAAACTATTCCTCCCGACTAACTGCGGATTATATTGTGCGGCAGAACAGTTGGAGTTGACCTTCAGCCGCTCCATGAGTACCTCCGCGGGTTTGGAGTGCCATCTGCACTTGGGCCTATTGTTCGGTGAAGCTGTGAAGGCTAGCTGCGGCAACAGCAGTACAATAGTTACAAAAAAATCGTTTGTTTGTCAAAATCAATTATTTTTTTACTGTATCGATCTCGAGATTATTATTACAATATATATATTGAGGCGAACTCGCTTATCTTAGTACTCAAGCCTAAAATATACGAGTCAATCCCGCATCAGTATTTAACCCTAAAACATCATTCAAATCTACACTATACAAATACATAAGGCGAGCTCGCGTCAATATTCAACCCTCAGTCGTTCATCAATTTATTAATTTAATTTGTTTAGAACCAATACCGTGATTGTTACATGAAAAACTCCCTATTCTCGTGTGGTGGTCAAGTATGTCGCATCTGTGTGTTTGTGGAATTACCCGTTGGGCTCTGACAATTCGGCAGGTCTATCACTGTGATCTCTATAACCCTCAATCCTCTCAGTATAGGATCCGTTATATGCACTCCTCGTGGATTGTAGACCCTTTCGTTTTGTGTCGCTATGAATTTGGAGACTTTTCTTAAGTGCTGAAATTACAAATAAAACCTGCTATAAATAAATTTAATCTTTAACCATCGTACAGCGTCATCCAATTCCAAACTAAGCACTGCTTTTTTTTAATAAATATGGATGGCAACTCTTTAAGCCCTTTGTATTAACGATACATACTGGCGAGGCTCGTGAAGGCAGGCTAATTAGATTATCATTTTAAATTTACCAATTAATCACGACAGTTAGTATGGTGTACTATGGGTACTAATTACCTACTACCTCTGCTTAAATGTTTAATATTTAAACAATACTATTTATTTTTGCAAATGATGATGTTAAAGTGCTCCCTCCTGTTCTACCAAGTGTACAACCACTCGTTGTGTCTGTTATTAAAATAAATAACTTGAGCATCTTTTTCTAGAAACCACAAGACGGTATCAATATTGATGATAATAATATGCGCTATATTATTGGTTCCAGATGTGGTAGTCAGAAGCATTGTCAACATCAAGGAATACTTAAAAGTCATTTAGCTGGTATATTGAAATCCAATGTGGTAAAGGATGCACCTATTACCGAGTTTTAGTAACATCTAATTTGTTATCAATCATCTAGAATAGCTATACAATCCATTCAATTGTTAAAGATCCTTAGCCTGATACAATAAAGATGATGATTACTTCTATTATCACAATTTTCTATAGGTTAGCATTCTGATAATATTTTATCTAATCCTATGTAGGGCACTACAAGATAAAAAAGATAAAGCTGTTCCCATAGTCTCTATGAATATTATTTAAGGAGTATAATGTACTACCATAATTATAGACTACAGACTGATGCCCCTGAATTCCTCAGCTATATTTTTTGAAAACTAATATTGTTTACAATTACTATTATATGATGAATGAACGTAGATAATTTCCTATATTCATCCTCTACAATCATAATCATGCTGAAATTTCATTAAAAAGAATTATTTACAGCTGAATGATTGGCTGACCATTCAGCCCTTAATGAAATAATAAGTTTCTCAGAGATTATTTGTTGCCTAATCAGCTGTTTATGCAACAAACGGACAGACAAACAGACACACCATTGTATTTATAATATATTTTTTAAATATGGATAACAGCAACTGAATTGATGTCTACATTTACATCATTCTTCCATACATGACATCTCCATCTTGACATAGTGTCCAGCTAACACCATACAAATAATTGGCAAATTTATCACCATATGCTATAGTGTGACCTTGATACTAATTGGGTTATTGGTCTACTACAATACTATTTTTATGGTGGTTTTGGGCTATTGTCGGGTGCTACAACCTGTGACACTGAGACCTGCCTAGATCTGTTGTGCTCTCACTTTTTCAAAGTTTGCTGCCCAGACCCGTGAGGGAGTAGAACTGAAGGATAGTGTATACCCTCTAAAGGAGATATTTACAACCACATAGGATATGTAGTGGTATAATACAATACTAATAATCCTCTTCCCTGTATTCAATGTATTAAATATGTAAATAAATTTATTACCTTTTCATAATGTGTTTCTGTACAAATGTAGATGAAATAAGCGGTAAGACAAGCTAAGCATCCCTCACAATAAGTACTGCAGTCAGCATTCTCTGCCATCTCAAAATGTTCATTCAACCTTTCCATTGTGTATTCGAATGATTGTCTATCTATCTGTAAGTATATAAAAATAAATATCAATCAAAACAAAGATAATGTCAAAATACATAAGTTTAGCATTCTCTTACTATTGCATTTATTTATATAATACTGACTAACTGACTAATGACTGCATACTGTCTATAAAAAGAGATTGACACATTATTCTCTCCACTAATTATAAACATACAGTTAAACAAATAAATTTCACTTTATCTACACTTTTTTTTATTTAGTTAAACAATAACATAGAGTGGTAACAACAAAATACAATCTTAATTAGGTCACATACATTCACACCATGTTTCCCATAGCAATTTAATTGCACAATCTTTGAATACATGCCACACCTACTTTTAATTAACTTCTATTAATTACATATATAAATGTATTAGTGTTAAAATTCTTAAATTACATTACCACAACAATGATCTTACAAATCATAAACAAGATTCAGTTACATAGACACATCCATACATGACCACTACTCGCGCAAACAACTATAAACAAACCGTACAAGAAATAAGCAGTTTCACTTACTCTATCTTCCAGTTCAGGGGGAAATCTCGTTTGAAATTTGACCGATGTGCCTTCTGAATAATCTCTCTGGATAAATATCTTTATACCTTGCTGTGTGGGTGTTTGCTGGCTTCCAGGCGTATTAGGGCCAGAAGGTATACGATTGTTTGCCATTGCTACTATCTTCTAAGTCAAAGTCCAAGTTTATGCGAAATCTCGAAGGCTACACAATTGTTAAGAATACATAATAATTTCTGCGTATTGGTTAATCACAATATAATGTCAATAGATTTTTTATTTAGCAATATTCTTAAGATTTCAGGCTAAAAAAATAAAGGGATAGAGACTAGAGAGAGCGACCTGCCGCCTGCGATACGTATATACGTCAGCGTGCGTGAATGACAGTACTGATTGACAACTACTGTCAGTTCACTTCTGTCGCTTACACTAAGAACCATAGATAAGCAAACAAGGCAAATGTAATATATCTGTGGTTGCCGATCAATAGAATTTAAAACAAGATTGGTTTTAAAATGGTATCTACTATACTATTACTGTCAAGGAACATAATACTCTAAAGAGATTACTATTCTTTACTAATTAGTGTGTATGTTTTTAACCTTTATTTATTAGGATTTAGTGGTGAAATGCTAATAAATAAAGATATAACCGTGGTGTATAACTTGTATACTTGAATTAATTATGCATTGCTTTGGTTGTTCATTCAAGCCTGTTTAAATATCAAAATTGCTACAGCTAGAGTCATCGGTCTTTTGGTTACTGTTAGTTGATTTATAAAATAGCACATTCTCATTGACTAAAAGTAATAAATACAGTTGCTTACCTATTATTATGTCATATCTGCGTTACGAATCGTACGACTGCAGAGGATCTCATTTGATTCACTCAGTCATCAATCATCTTATTTGGTGTTGTGTAGGTACTTATCTTTTGTCGAGATTATATCTCTATGCATGTTGGTATATTACAAATACTTGTATCCTGCGAAATTGAAACCCGTGTCCATCGAAACTAAGTAATTAAATTCTTAGAACTCCGAGTAGCCAATAAGATCAATAGTATTTTACCCTGTTAATATGGACGTCGGATGCCTAATTCATAATTTAGTTTTGTTATTTACCTAATTTGAAGATTTATTGGTTAAAAATAAGATCATAGACATTAGCCATTAATACGGATAAGGCAACAGGAATCATCATCAGCCCACTACAATCTACTGCTGGACATACATAGGCCTCTTCCAAGGCACGATCTTCAACGGAAATAACTAAATTAAATATGTCATGTTTGTTAATTACTAGCTGATCCGGTGAATGTGGTTTTTGGCATATAAATTATATTAGGATAGTGCCACCCTTATCACCTAGTGGTATAAAAAATAGGCCACTACCTATTCAATAATTTATTACTATTATTATTTACTACTCAATAATTAATTTATACGCCAAAATTTTTTATAAATATAGGACAAATCGTTTCGGAGAAGTTCGATAAGAAACATTGAGATTCAAGACTTTCTATATTAGTTGATATCTTATATTGTATCTAAATATATATATATATATATATATATATAGATATATATAAGTATAATTAATAAATCACGGCATCTTACCACGATTTATTTTTGTGGTCCCATGAGGGACCTTTATACTATATAATTATATTTATAAATAATGACCGCGTCAAACTTAAAACAGTATATAAGTATATATATAGATAACGTGACCTTAGTGACTTCTGAAAAGTTGACTAAAATATAAATGGTGCTACACTTTCGTTAACAATTCATAAAAAAAGATAGAAATCAAAACTATTATTGCATATCCATCGGCTGCCGATGAGAACTATTCAGGACGATTTCGCTTCGGGTGTCCATTGAATATTAAACACGTAATACATACTTTGGCGTTATATCAATTAAGCGGCCGAATGTGTGTTGCAACTCTTTTATAATGAAATGTACATCCGACTGTCTATAGTTGAAGATTTCAATCTTCAAGATCACTATCAAAGAGTAGGTAGGTATCATGCAAGGATTTAATATATTTAGTTTCCTACTTTAATTAATTACTATAAAATGTGTCTACACTGCGCAAGGATATATTACAAATCTTTGAATTTACTATACTATTATATTTCTATACTACCTATAACACGCATGTATTATATATAGGTATATAAACCTTCCTCTTGAATCACTCTATCTATTGCTGAAAACTGCATAAAATCCGTTGCGTAATTTAAAAGATATAGGTAAACGAACAGACAGTCGACTTTGTTTCAAGCAGTGTATGTAAAGATGTTGGAATGATGAACAAGAGTCTGAATGTTCGTTAGTTGTATAACTTGTGCAGCCCAAATAATAATGATAAATAATAATAGATATATTGTTCGCCAAAAGTCCATCACGATGAATTCACCACGAGCTAACCACGATGTTTATCAGAAGGGAAGCGTATTGTGGAGGATATTCTTCATCATTAATATTGTCTTCCTTTCCAGTACACATGTTTACTCTGGATATTTATTATTTTCTTCGTTAAAAGAACAACTGTCTAAGACAGCCTATAAACAAATAAAAGTTTTGTGGATTGTAAACCTCGTTACTGAAAGCGATGTTTACAATATTTAGTTTGGGAATAATACGTTCTGTTTTCTGTCTGGAATAGTTATAATATAATAATGCATTTTTAAACATTATGGGTATATATTTATAAAGATTTAGGAAAAGATCATATTCCTTTCCAAAACATTTCCGTATCACTGCTGTAAGACGCCGCTAAACCTCTAAACCACCGAGATCGTATACTTTAAAAAATGGAAAAGACACAATATCGTTTTAAATTGCACACATACCTAAAGCATCGACACAATTAGTTCTGCCAGACCTAATTAAGAGCAAGCAATAAATCAGCTGTTATACATACCATAAAGCTACCACCTTAGACTGCCAGTACCATAGTCTTCATATTTTTATAAACCAACTCACGCGTCCACGCATCCGTTTTGCACCGACATCTTTCACTCGCTAATGTGTGAGTGGAATGTCAAACATAATGAAATGTGCCCTGTATTACGTAAGAAATGTGAACAATATATTTATCTTGGTGTTTACTGGTGTCACTTTCTTTTGCTTTGACAAAAAGTGACAATTAAAAATAGAGCACACTCTTATAGCGACGTTCCTTGTAGACTTCCGCGATACAGGTTCCCCTAGTGCTGGGTCCAATGTATATCAGGTGTCTATTTATTGGTAAACTTCGTACAGGCGTACATGTAAACCTTCCCCTTCAATCACTCTATGGAGCTTAAAACTGCATTAAAATCCGTAGTGCAGTTTACAAGATCTAAGCGGAAGCGATTCAATAGGAATTGGAAGATATTTCGAGGGATATGAATAAGATTTTAAAGGATATTTTTTTAATAAAATACGAACGACATAATGTTAAACGTAATTTTAATTTATTAATATATATTTTTTACAATGACAAAATATATTAGACAAATACAATTATGCATATGAACCTCTATGCTCATTCAACAGTGATTTCATTTTATAGAAATAATTAGAAGAAATAATCTTTATTCGAATAAACTTACGTGCTTGTAGCACATTTCAATTGTCATATTTTGATTCTACCACTTATTCGGGATGCAGATTCATCACAAGAAGAAAAAGAAAGAAACTTGTGTGTTGCTCTTTTTGATAGATGTTTTTTTTATATAAATAATTACAGTATAACAAGTAAGAGGCATGCGATAATCAACATAGAAATCGCTACGCAATCATTATTAGTGTAATCAGATAATATTGTCAGTGGAGTTTAAGTTTTTCTATAAAAACATTATTATCATTAACGAATTCTTTAATTTTATAGTAAGCTTTTTTTGCAAAGGAAGTGTTTTATATAACATTTAAATCTTTTTTTCTGGCAGATTTATAATAGACTTTGGCATTTTGTTGTAAAACCTTACGGAATTGTCATAAAACGAATTACTAACTATAGCCAAACGACATTTAGGTAAAATCAGTTTGTTATTGTTACATATCAGTTTTAATTGTTTTTATTAGTGCAACCACTAACTCTTTTGAAATTATACTTTGTAAAGATATAGAAATAAATAATGAATGGTTCTAAAACGACAGTGACACAGTATAATTGAGAAAGCCTTTCTTTTTGATGTTGACTAAAACGAAATTATCATTGGCGTTAATCATAATGCATCATTCGGCACAAAATTTAAATTTTATGACGTATGGGCCATGTCACGAATGTCACGAGGCATTTCTAAATCTTCATCACGATGATGTCACTGTACTACGTAAACACTGTTGAATGAACATAGTGGTGCATATAATTGTATTTTGACTACACAGTTTTGTCAATGTAAAAAATATAGTGAAATAATAAAAAATATTTTTAACGTCAGTTCGTGTGTATCTTCTCTTATTAATAAATCCTATAAAATCTAGTCGATTTCATCCGGCATACACAAACTATACGTAAATCTTAGACTAACTTAATTTGTTATTAGTTCCATTCGTCGGTGCTAAAGTGTAGTAGATTATATAGGTATATTACAGTATTTACAGTATACATACAATATATAAACTTTGGACTATTTACACAGAGCCATCTAGTTTCATACTAAAAATAGCTTGTGTTGTAGGTGCTAGACAACTAACCTAATTAATAATTAATAGTAAAATAATAGGAATTACAAATCAGGGCCCACCAGATGGTAAATGGTAACAGTTGCCTATAAGCAGAATCACGGACATCATGTGATCATGTAGGTAGTCTTTTCCATTTCTGTGTAACTGATTGGTTGAAGGGTGCGATATGACAGTGAAATTAAATCCTTTGGATAGGTTCCTGGGCGTCATATCTCTTCGTAGTAATAATAATAATAATAATCTTTATTTATCTCAAACAAAAACTTTTCACACAATACAACTGTTGCCCATACAATAATATAATTTAAAACTAATGAATGAGACAACTAACAAAGTAAATATAAAAATTGACAATAACAAGATTGGACAATAACAAACTTAAATATATATAATCTAATATAGTGTTGTTCATATGTCTATACATACATATGGCAACTAGCGACTATATGCTAGTTGCCCCTTGCATAAGGTGGTTATATCAAAAAATGTTAAACAAAATATTCACTTCACCCATTCTGGCGTCATGGGCGTGGTTACAATTTAATTATTCATGTAAGACCCGACTAACTGTATTGATAGTCGAGCAGTGCGAATTTCAAGCGTGAATTTTATCTAAATGAGAAGTCCTGACTTAATGTTCATAAATTATAGCAAAATGTGATGTTTTTCAGCGAAAGTGCGCAAAAAAGCGCACATTACAAAGAGCTTATGACAATAAATGTGAAGCAAAAGAATAAATAAGAAATCGTCATGAACTAAGAAGCGAACTTGTATAACTGTGGCTATAGAACGGTCATAAAATTTTAATGACCTTGCATTGTTACGTAAACTGTATTTTGGGATCTTTGCACTTTGCATCCTAACTATTTATATTACAGTGGCATTACGTTCAATTCCTTACAGATTTAGAGTGGACATATGAATGAAAATAACTGTTTCACTCTACGATGTCTTTTTTGTTGAGATAAAAGATAGTGATACAGATTATTTTTATAATAATTATTTTTTGAATCGTCGTTAATCCTGAAAAGGTAGGTAATAAACTGATGTATACACAGGTACAGTTTCTCATTTGCAATATTAGTATGGATTCAGTTAATTTATGCAGTAAATTAACTCCATGCTAATATTGCAAATGGGGGAAACTGAAAAATACAGGGGTTTATGTAACTCAGGTCAACTACAATTTTACTTAATCTAAGATGATACAATAAATAATTTAATTTCTGATAATAGGTGTTAAATCACAGTTTAATCCATTATTATCAAAAGAGCTATAGAAAATAAATATAGAATAGAATTAAAAAATAATTTAAATTGTCATTTAGATTTGATTTTTTGTTTCACAAGCGTCTCTAAGTATTTTGTCGTTCGTTTTGAAACTATTATGAAGCAGGTGTATTTGTATATTGTGGTTTTAGAAGCTGCAATTCTGTTTTTATATTTATTACCATAGGGACATTATACATAAATTTTGAGCTTTAAAAGCCTTATATATCTTTATATGTCGAATTTCAACTAAAGTATTACACTATATTTTAAAATTGAGCTTACGTATTACATATAGAATTGTTCCTTTTTTATTAGGAATAATATTGCATGTATTTGACAATAATGGTAATATATTCTAATTCTCAAATATATATATTTATAATTCTCAGAAGCAGCACTAAAGGAAGGACCAATAGATTTATTGTCTGTGTTGTAACGTGCCTATTAATTTTATATTTCAATTTCGAACTTAAATTAAAAGATAGTTAATGTTTATTTACTTGCTGTATCAAGTAATTATAAAATAATCATTGTATAAATGTTTCTGCCAAAAACAACATATATAATTTTAAATAATTCTCTATAACCATCGAAGTCACCAGCTATTATGAAGTGATAGTTTTCCAATACCATGTCACTTACGAGCACAATTAACGTGAACCAGGGCTTACCGAGTACCTACTCCCTCATAATATCGCCGAAGATAGTACTCCGGCGCATTCTGCCATCACGTCACGTATTAATGCTCGTATATAAACCAAGCCCTGACCCACCTTAGCATACATTGTGACCGTTAATCAGACGGCAGCAAGTCGTCTCTGCCGTCAACAGACACATGGTGAAAATAAAGTGCAACATGGCCAAACTTATAGTGCTATTGTCTTTGGCAGCATTTGCTAGTGCTAATTCATATTCCGCGAGTAAATTAGTCAAGAATATTTATAATGAATGTTTAAGTCAGTATTCGGTGGAATGTGTAAAACCGAGGACCCTGCAGTGGATTTCGCAAGTTGCCAACGAAGATGAGATCAAGATCACAGACGACCTCACCATTGTCAAGACCGGGATTATTGAAGATAGCGGAGCAGTGGACCCCAGGATGGCTAAGGAGCCAATGTATGCTATGTTCGACAGCGTCGACAAGTTCCTTCAGAGCCATACTTTAAGGGTTAAGGTTCCAGAAGAAGTCACAAAGAGTGCTGCCGCTGAATATGTACCAAGGTCGCTTCTGACAGACCTTCCATCGGAACTCAATATGCCTTTGGACGGCGAAGAGGAAGTTGAAGAATTTGAGGGCAGAAAGAAGAAAATCAAGCTTCCTAAACCTTTGAGAATTAAGTCCAGTGAGTGGTTGTAAAGCAAATATATTTAATTATGATGTAAAGAACCATATACTCAATTATTTTGTTACTTGCAGAACATGGCTTCATCAAGAAGATTTTGCTGCCTTTCTTACTCGGCCTGAAGTTCAAAGCTTCAGTTCTGGTGCCCTTAGCGCTGGCCCTCATCGCCTTAAAAACGTGGAAGGCTCTGACCCTCGGACTCATCTCCCTTGTCTTATCTGGTAGGTTTTAACTCAGAAATACTTGCTTATTAACTGGTTAATTTTTATTACTTGGATAATTATGAACATAGAACAAGAAGTATATTTTATGGATTTATTAATATTTTTTCGTATAAATTATTGAACAACATTTATTTTTTCTTTAGGTGCCATGGTTATCTTCAAATTCACGAAACCGAAAGTCGTCAATTACGAGGTGATCCACTACCCACAGCACCATGTTGAACACCATGTAGACCATCACGCTCCAGGCTGGGATGCCCACGGCCCCTACCAGGCGAGGTCATACGAGGATGCTCATGAAATCGCCTACTCCGGTCAAATATAAAAGAAAACAAGCTATAGCATAGGATGGATCTACGGCTAATTTATTTATTTATTTATTTAATTCTACTGTAAATAATGAAGTCTGTATAAAATAAGTTTCAATTTATTGTACGAGTTCTTTATTTTATACCTGAAATTATCTCATGATAATAACACCATTTTCGGAAAATTTCATGTCAAAATCTTTATGCAAATAAGTTTCATTAGCCAAAGTGACAGAAGTAGTGTGTACTGCGTCACTTATGGTATTTATATTAGTTTGGTTTTTCACATATAATTTTATTCCTGATTTAATTAATGACGGTATAGCCTTAGTTTTAAAAATAGTGTTACCATCTTTATCATTTTCTATATCGGCAAATAGAGAACGGAATTTCTTTTGTTTCATTTCAACATGTTTGTGACCAATATCACTGACTATATCATTAATTCTATTTTCATTAGAAAATATTTCAGGGCTGGTATCAGCCACTATATAATCAGGCGGACTTATTTCTTGTCGATGTGGTTTTTCAACATGAATTATATCCTCGATATGTTTAAGATTCCTGTCGACACGCATTTGATTTTCTCTTACACTTTCATTTGAATCAAAATGCATGATGGCATTCGACTCCTCTGCTCGATTCGGTAGAAGCATATTATTAGAAAACGTTTTAAATATATTTGAACTTTTTAATGGATTCATTTTATAAAGATTCAATAATATATTGAAGTTGTCTGTGTAAGCCCTTTTCATTCTGTATTTGGATGTAGCAGAGTTACTGCAAGTAATCTGTAAAAAATGATAGATATGATACGAAAAATAACTTAAGTAAAACAAACATAAATGAGTGAATTTTATGAAAAATTAATTATGCACGTTTAACTTCCAATTTATACAGAAAAAAAATATTATGACAAAGTATTAATGTTACATACAATTTAGTAAAATATTATTTTTAAACTTATTACCAGAAATAAATTACTGGTAATTACTGGACCATCATTATTGAAATTAAAAAAATGTCCCCTAATTTGAAACAATCTTCGATAATAAAGGAATTTATACCTATTAGGATTAGGATATAATATTTTACTGGTTACTGGATTACTGGTTCACGCAGAAATTATACTTTCTTTCTTTGTTTATGTTATTTATTTACCTCACTCAGCCCAAACAAAAGTCGAAATGCAGAAACAGAGTCTAACGTATACCTATATATAATATGTGGTAAATTATATCCTTAATTTTATATAGATATGTTTACAACATTTTAAAGAGTGATGGATGCTTTTAAGGTTTGATAGTAAAAGCAGGTTAAACAATTTTATTGGCTCAAATATGCGTTTCTGTTCCGAACATCCTGATGACCGTTCCACTATTCATACAGTTGGAATACTATCGCTGTCAAATGACACGCTAGCAAATACCAGGATGTGTGCTGATCGAATACAAATATTCGTCCTGTATGTTAAATGTGAGAGTGTGCCAGTCATTAATAGTCAGTTTCATTTGCAGTTATAGCTGTTACTATTTTTTATACGAGTCGGTATGACAAACATGCTTACGGCCTACCTGATTGAATATGCTTCCAGATAGTAGGTGAATTACGCCAAAGGGAAACTGTGGTATTGTGTTTATATATGCTATGGTATTCAATATCTATAGTAATATTATTAAGAGATTTGTGAGGTTGTAGTAGGTAATCTCTAGATTTACTGAACCGATATTGAAAATTCTTTTAATGTCGATAGCCTATTTATCGAGGAAGGCCGTAGGTTATATAAAATCACTAATACAACATCGCGCTGCGACCAAAAGGAGCGGATTTGAAATGTAAAACTTCGCAAAAACGGGGATAATGTGACGTAAACGAAGTTACCCGGGTTAGGTAGTCTACTATATTTCACTCTAGTTCAAGGTTGGCAACCATAAAATATTTGGCCTCATACTCATAGCTTTTAATTTGGTTATTTATCGTGTCGCATCTAAACGAGGATTCTAGTATGGTTGACATCCCTGCTCTAGTTTCTGACGTCGATTGTGTAAATTTGCTATTAGCTAGGTCATCAACATCTTTTTTATGAACTAGAATAGTATATAAGCTGGCGGTTTATTTTATGGTAAGTGCTAACCGACATCTATATCCGTGGTATAGTTCATATAGGTATTATAAATTTTCAGAGGAGAGACAGCCTGCGTACCTTGTAATTCACTGCCTTTCTTCATCCTTTAACCGAAACATATCATACAAAGGTTGAAGGTAGCCTAAACGACATTGTACAAAATCTACCGTGCCATAGATGTGTGTATCAGGTGTAACTAATATACGGGAAAATTATTGTTTATTGTTTTTGTCTGTAACACTTTATAGTACTTTAAAAAATACTTATATGAAAGGATACCATGATCTTAAGAAATAAATAGTACAATGGTGGTTATTATTGTGTACAGATGCATTGCACCTCGGGAATTGCAAAGTACTAAAATATGCAATAAAATATGTGATCTAGGTAAAACCACAGATAATATAATATTACATAGTAAAACTAAATAAACATACAGATTTTTTTTAAATCAAAAGTATATTAAATATTTTGTATATTATAGTAGTTACTTACCAGAGTAACTAAAGTCAGTATAACACCAAACACTGAATGGTACTCCATAATACTGCCTGTAATCACAATCCATTGTTTATTGCTGTAATCTGCATCAGAATTGTTCGCGTTTCGTTTCTCAAAATATTTAGGTCTTATATTACGTACTTCGAGAAGTTTCAATTCTTAAAAGAATATTTTGAGAAACGAAACGCGATTGAATTTTAAAAACTATATTAATTGTAAACATGTTCCACTATTATTTGAAAAAAATACGAGCTGAGTTTCTTGTCAGTTCTTGTCAGTTCTTCTCATCTCGATATCATTCCGAACTGACGGTAGATTTGACATATCATAAGAGTCTGTAATAGACCTACATGAATAAAGATATTTTGATTTTTTTTTTAATTTTAGTACAAATCTTACATTACTTCGTACAACTACGCTCAATAGTTATTTTTTCTTAGTCTTTGTCAATTCACACAGCGCCAGATAGTAAACTAAATAGACTTTATGTTAAGGGCTACTAGACAGCTGATAGAAATACTTAAATATTTTTCTTTTATTAATAGTAGTTCTTTTAGTAATACATACATAATATACATAGAAAACACTGAGACCGAAACAAACGTTCATGCTCAAGAATACTAATGTTTGGATCGTGCGAGGAATCGAACCCGAGACAATTGAAACTAAAGCGTTGTGCTAAACAGCTAGACCAACACGGCCTTAAATAAATTACGTACATCTAATTAGTGGTCACAATTTATTTAAATTACATATAAGTTTGATGAAGATTGTTTTATTGATTTAATGTATTTTCTACGCATAATTAAAAGAAACTAACAGCATTCTGCACTTCTTCTCAATACAATTTTCGTAAAAGGGGAACAAAGTTTTGTTTCACGTATTATTATATATTTAGTTTACTCCTACTTAAATAGTTGTTCTTTGTTAATACAACTAACAGTAGGTACTACTCATGAATATATTATAAATAAAATTCGTGGGTATAAATTACAACAAATTTCTTAAATGTAAATATCGTGGAATGTAGGGAAAAAATTATAACAGAAAAAATTGTCGGCTTATGATATAATTTTTGATTTGATTTGTATATGACCACGTAATTTTGATTTAACTTCGGTTTATTTCTAACTTGACGTTGATCTTAATAACTAACAGATTTATTTTACAAACCTGTCAATGATTGGATATATGATGGCCGTAGTATTTTTCTTCACCAAAATCGTAATTCCATGGTATATTATACCCCTTTTTCAGAGCTACTTCCTTACGTTCTCGGTCTTGATAAAACCTAACATCCAACCATTCATACTTCGCTTTGCCCATGTAGGCATCATAGAGAAAATCTAGTACAGGGTGACTATCTAATACTCCAAAATAGTGGATTAGTCCAAGAGAGCGAAGCTTCATCGATATGACGGCTAGACCAAGAAGTCCGTCATATCTCCAGGATTTATGTTCTCCTACTCGGTGAACTGCTGCTCCTGATTCCACGCCCAATGGCGCCCAATACCCTGGCACACATAGGTACCACCCCCATTCAAGCTGTAATGAATTTATACATCATGATAAACCACACAATCAAGTTTCTGTGTGAAAGTGTAACAATTATCTATACTTATAATCAAATATAATACTTATAAAATTAAGATAGTCTTATTTAAAATTAGATAAAAAATATTAACTTACTTTCGGGCATGGAACAACATGACTCCTAGTGCGTACGACATATTTGAACCACGGCATTGGTTTCCGTTTATAAGCACGTATATATTGAAATCCTATCACATGGGTCATTTCACCTTCTCTAAATGTAGCTGGAGCGTATTCCCACCTACAATAAAGAGACGTCTATAAAGATTCTACTTCAAAAATCTTTAAAATAACATCACATTTTGGTAAGAAAGTTATAGAAAGAGAAAGACTTAGAGAAGTCAATTAAAAAAATTGTACAAAAAATAAATTTTTCACACTTTTAACGGTAACTTGAATGTTACTTGTCATTATGTGTGTCGAAAGTTTTTTGTCATTCCTATTAAGCAAAAAATGCACATACATACTTATGTGAGCTGGCTCGATTGCAAATATAAGTTTTGGATATTGTCCAAAAAGATCCAAAGAAGCGGTAAGTCATCGTCCACAATGATATATCAAACATTATAGGGAACGGATGCGAACGATTCACATCTTTTGGTCGAGTATACTGAAAATCAGTAATTAAAGTTAGATTTTAAAGATTAGCAATTAAATTACATATTTTATTAATTCGAATGTTATGAATGATGAATTTCATTTCATCTTTTTATTGATATATAAATACGGTTATTCAAAAAGGCATAGAAACTAACATCTGACCAATTTTGGAGTGTGAAGAAATTACAGATTTTTTTTATATGCTCATTATGTCAGCTGACTTATACAGGGTGGTGCTGTTACAACTGGCTGACTATTATTACTGACTGAGTTAGCAATTTGAACTGGAAAATAAATAACTGTTTTTTTAATGACCTAGGGTGCTGCTTCTTAAACCATCCTCGGAACTGCAGCTGAAATTTTCTATGGCTCATAAACAATTGTCAACAGTTTTCGACCGAGAGGAAATTTGTCACCAGAATGTGGCAGAAGCTGACTTACGTGTCACGGGCTAATAGGCAATGTTTAAGGCTTATTATTAGATGGACCATTAGCATGTTTGTCATTCGAATTAAATACAAAATAATAGATATCTTTAATATAATATATACTGTATACTTAATTACTATATTATATACTTACCCTTGGATGATAATGTATTTGAGCTGGAGTAGCATATAAAGAACTGTTGAATGTATCGCCATTTTGGTCATACCAGATGCCTAATATGTTCTCAAAGGTTCTGAAATGTCTACGTTTCCTAAGTATCAATTCTGTAGCTGTGGCTGTAGTTATGGCATGACGTGTAGTTATAACTGCACACCCAGACAGCAAGCGTAGTCTTTTAAATACTGTGGTGCAGTAACAACCCATCCAATAGGCTTGATCCTGTTAAAATTTATATTTATTTTATTCCATGCAATAAAACCGAAACATCGCGTCGACCGAAAACTGTGTTTGTCTATAAATATGTAAATGTTTCGGGGAAAAATAGTAGGCTGAATTGTGATGAAATTTTCACAGAATATGAGTCAACAAATAAAGTAATGAAAGTAGGGAATGAGGGGCACTGAAAAGATTTGTAAAAATATTGAATAGCCACCTGCACTTTTAATAATTATTTTTTTACCATGAAATAGTGATGCTTTATTCACTGTTGTAATTTCATCATCAACAAACGATATGCTCTACATATACATGCACACCTATTTGAGGGTCATTAGTTTTAAAATATTGATTAGCATATTCTTATAACTTGGATTATTATGAATGACCAATAATGAAAATTCTTGAACGTGGTAACGCGGATTAGGCATCTGGTGAAGTAGTTAAAATCGCAAGACAACCCAGGCTGTTTGATTGTACGGTGCAAACTACGTGAAATCAGGATATGGTAGCCTAGTACCTATCTAGGCCTAAGATGTAATGCCTACATTACATCTTAGTTCTTCGCAAATGTAACGTATGTGTGGTATTATGGCTCTCGGTGTGGTCTCAAAGGTGGTACTGTTCATGTTGACGGCCTCGGTGGTCTTGCGGTTTAGAACATCGCTTTACTGGTCGCGGGTTCGATTCCTCGCACGGTGGAAACATTTGTGTCCATGAATTGTTTGTATAGGTCTAGGTGTTTTCTCTGTATATTATGTATTTATCATATATATAAAAATATATTTAAGTATTTATATCATTTGTCAGGTACCTATAATGTAATACTCTGCTTAGCATGGGGCTAAATGGCGCTGTGTTAATTGTCCAGGGTTATTTATTATATAGGCCGTCAGCTTATATACAACTCCAATTGCATAAAAGAAACACCTACCTTTCCCCACCATTGAGAGAGTTGTTTATGTGCCGGTGATATACGAAAGGGCCTATGCTCTTCCGTGTAGTAGAGACTTCTCGAAGGTAATAGCTGTTGTTCTACTCTGTAGTCCGGTGTATCTTGCGTGGGTGGAATGGTGACATCATCCATACCTGTTGAAGGATCCAGAGTAGTTGTTGGAGGATTATGCTCATACTCTATTTCTGGTTGTCCTTGTATTAACGCTACGAAGTAGGTTAGCCTAGAATTTTACATGTATGTTTATTACTTTAAACTTATTACGTTTAGCCCTTATTGAAGGGCTCTCTCGAACTTTCTGGATCTGATTTAGTTGTACGTTACATATCAACTGTTACTTAGCAACATTATTACTTATTTTAAATGTGGTAGATTAGACTTTTTCTTATTAAATCAATGTGCTTAATACCCTCCCGCTGATCCAGACACGCGGGAGCGTGTCAAAGCCGAAATAATTGTAGTAGATAAACCTTTCTTTTGCATTGGCAAAAGAAAGTTTTATCTACTACAATTATTTAATCAGTCATTAGACACAGACTGATTCGGTATTAAGTATTAATAAATCAACAGATAATATAACAATTATTACAACAATAACATTAAAAAGTGATTACTTTTTTTCTTATTATTTCTACGTGAATAGAAAAACAAAACAAAGAAGTATGAGAATATTAAAAAATAATAGTACCATAGTAAGAGTATGTCCATACTGATGCTGCTACTGAACGAATACCGTGAAAACAGAAATGTAATCATTTATACCGAATCTAAGGAAACAATCATAATATTGTCATGATAAACCTCAAAATCACCCCATGTTTAATGTGTGCCAATCCTCTATACATTCCTCTAGATAGACTTCCTAAAAGTCATCTGTTTTGTTGTCTTTCTATAGATAAACGAATAAAAAAAGATTCCCAGAGGAAGATTTTATAAAATCATCTATGTGGGTATGGGTACCTCAGACTCAGTCATTTGAGCCGTAAAACAGTTTCCTTTGTAAACCATGTTTCCTAATGAAAGTGACCGTTTGCGACATCTACAATCAGTAAGTGGACAAATTCAGTCAACTTGTTTGCCTAATCCAATTATATAAAAAAATTGTCCAACTAGTTCCGAGTTATTTTCTAGGGTATACGCTAGAAAACTACCTAAAAAAACAATTAATATGTCTTGTATACAAGACTCGATTATTAATTGTTAGATAGTTAAACTTCTATTGTTTTTTCTTAAATAAGAGATAGTATGAGATGCAATCTATCCATCGGAAGTAATGCGAGTGGTAAGCATCTAAACTAAAAATATTTATTTTACATTTTAGGCCGGCCAAATATTTATTTTATATTACATTTACATATGCTTGTAAATTTTATTATAACTATACCTAATCAGTTAACTATCTAGATCACTCAGATCGCAAATGGATTCATACATCCATCCAACCCATATAAGAGAAATTAAATTAATCCCAAATATAATATTCATAATATATCAAAAATATGAAAATTATGTCTTACTTGATATTAATATAGCAACTATAGTGTCCACATTTCCCCATTGGATTGGTAAGAAGCCGCATATGGCAACTAAATGATACTATTGGAATTGATAAATAAGCAGCTACGGGCATTTCGTTGGATGTGAAGATAACAACAAACAAATAATGTTATGTTCATTACTTTATCCATGAGGGGTCAGTCAAAGGTTTTTATGAAATTAATATTATGTCATATAATTATGAATTTTGTTATTAGTATATTTTAAATAATTTCACACTTTGAGAGTCATGATTACACCATACATGACTCTTACATACATAGATCAAAGATTTATATATTTATATATTCAGCACACATAATACAAAATAATGATAAAATAAAACATACAACAAATATAGTATTTTATCCAGACTGTAGTTATTGTTACTAAAACTTGAAGGTCTAAAGCATTATGTTATGTTTTTCTAAGGAAAGATATAGATAGGATAGATATAGATAGATAGACTCAACAACTTTATTTTTCATCTATGTTGGTATCTCCACTTTTGTAGGTACAGTACAAACTAGTGGCCCTTGTGATCTGCTAAGGCCACTAGTATCGTATTATATTTTGAATAATATTCATAAAAATAAAGCTTTTAATATAGACGTATTCTATAATACATCATTTGGGAACGCAGATTATTTGGTTCAAAAAGGAGCGAAATCATTTTAAATGTGTCAAATCAATGGTTTCCGCCGGATATAATATTGTCACGTACATGACTATGAATGGATTTCATAGTAAGGGCGCGTATAGTGATAGAACTGTATAATAGTTTAATTAAACTTTCACTAATTGTAGAAAGAATTAGACATCTACCTTGTATTCCTGATTATGCTTTCGAGTATATACCTGTGTATATTATGATTCGAGTATTACATATTTGTAGATGCTAATCAGACGATAAAAATATTATATATTAATAACATTTAAACAATGTCATCTATTATTAAATTAATTAACAATAGTATACCTAAGTAAAAAGTCTTGTTTATCCATTTGAAATCAAGTAAGCCACCCATTGTATGATTAACATTTTAAAACTTATTTGTTAAAATTACATCCTACTTCCTACAGAAGTAGTCACCTGGCATATGAATCATGAAGATAATAATAGCAATGCTGTAACCGTTTACCATCAGATGGGTCGTATGCTAGTTCTGAACAACCTCATTGTGGAATTGCCTTCTAGCAATGGTACTTCCGAATTGATAGATATTGAAACCTACAAAAAAAGAGCTTGTTCCTTCTTAAAAGGCCGGCAACGCGCTTGCGAATCTCCTGGTGTTGCGGATGCTCTTGGGCGGAGGTAATCACTTACCAACGGATGTGCCGCAAGCTCGTTTGTCTAAGCTATAAAAAATACTTATTGGCTAAATGTGATTTTAGTTAAAGAAACATTAAAAAATAAATCAAAATATAGTATTCCAGCTACTCGTCCCGGCTTCACCCGGGTGTTTATTTATTATATATGTATATATAAACCTTCCTCTTGAATCACTCTATCTGTTAGTAAAAACAGCTTCTAAGTACGTTGCGTAGTTTTAAAGATTTAAGCATACATAGGGACCGACAGACAGCGGCAGCGACTTTGTATATATGTAATTATTAGTATTCTTAGGAAATAATATAAAGCACACATAATCAACAAACAATTTAATTACAAAACGTTACAAATTACATTTGCTAGAAAGTAAAATAAATAAAATGCACAAAAATTGAGAGAAAATAATTATGTTACAATTAAGTCTAACGTCCTAGTGACTGGATGGTACTAATATTATGTACCTACATAATAATAAATAAATAAGTTAATCATGACTTACTTCGAGAGATTCATAGAGAAACTTAAACTAGAATATAGATCAATACAAATTCAAGAATACCTACAGTAGTAGTATATTTTTTTAACAAGGAAAGGCAAAAGTACAGGACCATACAGCCAATACTTTTGAAATATTTCCTTAAGAACAAGAATACATAATAATATTTGACAATAAAAAAATGTAGCCACACGGAATATCGATTTAACAATATTAGTCGATTAATATAAAATAAACAAAAGGAAAAGCAAAAAATATTAAAAAGTTTAGTATTGACCTCATCGATACTCGAATAGAGTATCGATGAGGTCAATACTACACTTTTTATTATTTTTTATAACATGTGTATTTAAAAAATAGAATATTCTAAAATAGATGTAGGTAATCTCGTTTTATCCACAACAGTACAGTTATTTCCATAACATATAGAAAGAAAGAAAAACATTTATTGACAAACAAATATACTGATTTCGACACTTGCTACTTATTACAAAATACTACAAGACTACAACCGGACTGTAGTAGGTAAGTACGAAGTGGTATAGTTTTGTTAGCTGTCTAACATTACCATTGGGAAGTATTCTGCTTCTACTACTACCATCCTTCTACCTTCTAGATTATTCTATAATGTTTATGTTTACAGACCACTGTTACCATCAATATACAATAAACCATTATAAATATAAATTAAATTAAAAATATTACTAAATATAGAATAATATGAATACAATCAAAGTAAGTCAGTTAATACACATTTCATATTAACTTTTAAAATAATATGTAATATTGGCTATTATATTATATTAAATAGAAATTAAAAAATAATTAAAATCATAGACTGATGTAATATTAATACTCTACCGAATAATCAGTATTCGATCTAGAAGATAATTATGTATCATAAATTTATTAACTAGATTTAAAATTGGATTGTAGAATAATTACTTTTAGTACGTAATTTATCTAGTCTAAAAATATTTCAATAACAATATTTTTAGAGTCACTTCTTTGTTACACAATTTCGTAATAGAAGCACCAATAAATTAATTAATGCAAGTTACTCAATATACAATATTAATAAAATTAATTTATGTTATTACTAAAAAAATAACCAATATTTCTCTACTATTGCTAAGTTTTGGACATAGCTGCAAATTTATTAATTTCTAAATGCAACTAGACACTCTTATAGAGTTTTACATAGATAATTTTAATTTTTATAAATTAATTTAATAAATAAATAAGTTATACTTAATATCTACTAATAAGTTAAGTATTCTAAAAATTGTAATTTTCTATTTTCAATCTTGTATTCCATATATCGACAGCATCAATACAGTGTATAAAATACAATAACAAACATATTTTTTTATAAAAATATAAAATACTAGACCCACACGTACACATCAAATACAAAAATAATAAATGTCTCATATACACATTATTCTAATAATTAATTAAAGATAATTATTTTCAAAGCGAGAAAAGTAACATTAGTAATTAGATGATCATATTAAAACTCATAGTAGTGGACGCTTAAATAACTTGAGCTGTTTGATTTTGAATTTCGATTCTGTTAACCTTAATAGTAATGGGGTTTTTTTGTTATGTTAGGCGGCGGGAAACTTAAGGAAGCTACTCTGTATTTTTTAAATATTTTAAATATGATTATTTTAAAAAGTGGCTAGAAATATCATAGCTACATTAATATATTCGTAATTATGATTTCTTACTCGGCTGTAGCTACTTTGACGGTTCACTTTCAACAGTTTTCTTTCATTTTGCGCTTTTTATGGTAACTAGAATTTAAATTATATTTCCATTTTAATCTGATCTATATTAGGTACAGTTTTATCTCAGCATCATTATTAATGTAGAATGTAATTAATTGTATCTAAATATTTATTTTAGAAATATATAAAATCGCATATATAGGTATATATAATGAGCTAATATTTAAGCATATTCGTTGAAATTACTTATTACAAACGTGTTCCGTTATCTTATTTTCCAGCATTTTATGCCTTCTACAAACCTAATTTTTGTTACAAGCATCTAACGCTTGAAACAAAAATTGCTAATGTATATATAAACGACTTCATATATGGACTAAAGCATTGCCAATTAGGCCACTGATATAATAAATAGGTAAAATGTCAGGTTTCCCGAATGCAAGTAAGAGTATGCTCATATTATTAGAATATGTCCTTCTGATTGGCTTATTTCCAAAGATGGCGGCACGTAGCAAATAATGCGCCATTCACATGACGTCGTCAGTTACGTCCGTTTGATTCTTACAGAAAATGTGTGACCAGCCTTATTTGAATTCGGGAAACTTGACAACTCAACCGACTGTATATCTGTGGGCTTATGCGTTTACTTTTTTAAAGTTACGCCATGAGCGAAGGCACTTACTTTTTTATTTTTTAATATAATCTATATTGCAGTTGGGATACAAAGTGATACAATTCTTCTGCTCCTGACCATCCCTGGCCGCTTGAACGTATCTGTAGTAATGAAGCGCCATCTTGCTGTCCGCAGGTGGAACAAGCTCACTGGAATCCCTGGAATGAATAAAATTATTAATTACGATATAAAAGACGATGTAAATATAGAACATGATAATGTTTTGCAATTTAACACAACGCCTAATGATGGTTATATGTTCGATTATGGAACGATAAAAATATTTATATTTTACATCTATCTTTTGATTTTATATATGTGTGTGTGTCTTTTTATATGTTACAATAGTCCTATATAATTCTGACAGCCGTATCAGCCGTTTCATTCCATAATTCGGTGGTCCAGCGGTTTCTTCCTGATACTCATCCCTTTTCATCCCCCACTGTCAGCGTATACTGTTAGCGTAGGTGGAGACATAGTTCCATTATCATCACATAGATGTTAACGGAATGGTTCTGATTTTTCAATTCACACACACACACACAATTCATTCACACGATTATCAACGTCATCACATCACATTTCGTTGGGTATATTTGAATCCAATGTGGCTAGATACGAGCCTATCGTCGTCTTTTGTATTTTGTTGTTAACGGTGTTTTCTCCCCCAGAAAGTCCTAAATTCTACCTAAATTAGGTAAATACTAATAGTATGCCTTTTCCCATTACTGCCCTTCAACCGCTTTCGGTTTTTGCCCAATGGTTAGCTGGTAGAGAAAGCCATATGTATAAGTTTAGATAAAGGATAAATAAAGTCAGTCAGAAATATAAATACATACACAAAATTTCCCCTTTTTTTTTGGTGCTGGCTAGATTTGAACTCATGATAGTCTGGGTGGTGGGAGTAGTAAATCACTAAGCCACTACGGTTATATATAGATGTACGGTTATATATAGCCCAATAATAATCTTATAGAAATTCCATCGCGTCTCAGTGAAAGTGAACATTAATACTGATTACTACCACGTGGTAATCATTCGATTAGAAATGTCCGATATCTCATTTCGCTGTTTACGCGTACAATGAACCTACATAGTAGGTTAGAGAAATTTTCCGATGAATGAGGAATGCCTTGTTTTACATACTTACTCGTACTAAAATGGTTCATTGATCATTTTAACAATATATGTGAGAATACTTTCTCTCTCTCATTTATATTACTATATATAACTGTGATTGATTTAATTGTTTACATTGTAAAGTAACTATTTATTTATATACTATTTATTTTATATTTGCTATTTGGTAGTTTGTATTCACACAAAATTCTAAAAAATGGAGTTCTGAATAACATTTATTTAAAGGAGCAACATGCTTGCTTTTTCATTCTTCTTGTGATGAGTCTGCATTCCGAATGAGTAGTAGAAAAAAAATATGGCTATTCAAAAGTGCTTATATGAAGTTTATTTGAATAAAGATTATCTCTATTTCTATGTAGGTAACATTCGATATTCTCGGTGGTTTAGGAGTTTACTACACCACCTTATTTCCTATGGTCGCAGGTTCGGGTTCTCGTGGGGTACAAACATTTGTATGAGTCATCAGTATAATTGTTTATATCGGTCTGGGTGTTTTCTATATCTATTACGTATGCATTTACAATAAAAATGTAATCACTTAATTACATTTTTATTGTAACAGCTTGGAACAAGATGGCGATGTGTGTATTGTCTGGGGTTGTTTTTATTACTATTTCAATTCATATTAATTTATATTTTATTACATGGTTGTACTTTAGCATACCTGTTCGAAGCCGGGACAGACTTCCTAGTCAAAAATACTTAATAGCTATGATAGAGACGCTATAAGTGTAATGCATTTAGGAACCGTTAATTATGTATTAAAACATCATTGGGCTCAGTGCCGCCAACCGTGAAGAAAATTGCTACTAACACGGTTTGCCAACATAATGATAGCACGCATGTGGGCATCAAACCACTGTATGATGGTTTTTGAGTTACACGATTATAAATATGTGCATTCCATTTCTTGATTAATAGCTCTATTGTGTCTATTATTTTCTTAGACGAGAACATTAATCGATCAATTGCGTTATATTTCATTACAGTAATCCGCTCTATAACACGGTAGATTGGATTCGCGGAATATGATTGGATATAGGAAACGCGTTTTTAAAACCACATATCACGCGTTACGTATAAATTATTCACGTTTAAATTTTCTGGTTGGGTTTAAATCGAATATTTAGAATAAACTATATTATAGTAAGAACGAAATAGTACGTTTTATTACATTTAAATAAATTATGAACATTTTAAATAAAAAAAAATGCATATGAACTAAAAAAACTAATTATGAACTGTACGAAACAAATTATTATAAATTTCACAGTATAGAAATATAATGTGTGAAATCCTCGCATTATATGGGATAATGTCGGTGTTATACGGGGGATGTAAATGCGTTATAAGAGTACCGTGTTATAGGGTTATTACTGTAATTAATCTTACCGCATCAATATACTGTTCTATATTTAAATTAGAACTAATTAAGTAGACAAATAATGCAAGATCTAAATTAAGATAGGAATAGGAACAAAATAAAAAATACGTAACCTGTTTCAATAATAACCTAACCAAGGCAACGTATTCGCAATTAATAGGAGTTTTATTTCATTTTTAAAAATAATCTTACTAGTTTTAATGGAATATAAAAAATATTCATTTAAACTTGGTTTTAAATATTTATATGCCTCCGTTCCTTCTTATCAGGTTTCTATTAGGCACATTGGTTGTGCAATAAAAAGTTTTAGTTATTGCAAAGTAACAGATATATCTTACAGGCACCTGTGATCGATAATCGAGAATTAATTGTATTTACTCCTATATATCTCTCCATCAGTTTCTAAAGTTACAATTAACAATGTTAAAGTATATGAGTAATACCCATCTAATGAACTTGCCCGATTACTAATCCTAGCTACGGCTACAGGAGGAAATAACTAACCTAATGATAGAAAATTAATTTGATACTCACTTGCTAAGTTCATTTGAGACTAGATTGCTGTACGGTGCATGACTGAATGGGTCCCTATACAATGCACAGACGGCTCTGTCCTTGCAGCCAGGGTCATAAGCACCCAGCGTGTTAAGGATCTTGTCCACTCGCTCCATAAGAGCTCCATAGAATTTCTCCGCGGACTGAGTTTCCTGTAAATTATTCATGGAAAAATGTTTAGGAACGTAATTTATTTTCAAGTCTATTAGAGTCATCTTATTTTGTGGAAAATAGTTTTTATTTTACTTTATTAATTATTAATGATTAGTGGTAATAAATATGTGGGTAATAAAAGTGGTAATAATTATTAATGGTTAATCTTTGGTACAAATTCTATTAACCAGTACATAAAAGTTACTTGTTATATTTAATAATGAAAAAATTCTTTTTCTTCTTCGTTCTCTTCAATCTTAAATTTTACACAACATACAGTATAAAAAAGGAAACTTTACCTACTAGTTTCCTAATAAACATTAAGACCTGCAATCATCATTAAATGGTATTGGGATCATATGGGTATTAAAAAAAGTGTTAAGTCTTCCTAAATAACGAAGAATAAAGAAAAGCACCTTACAAAGCACATTTTTCTGCTTTGTAAGCTGTTTTTCCATTATAAGGTTATTAAATTACAGCATAAGTGATATAAAATTTTAATTTCTTGGGAGGAACAATACATGAGTGGTATAGTCAGTGTAATATGATAACGTGATCTTCATAGTTGTATCTTGAGTATCCAGACCACAGTTACTGCTTATCATCAGGTTTGACCGTTTGTTTCTTGCTATTCTAATTACACAAAATAAGCCCTTTTCTTGTACAGAGTGATCAATGGAGAATAAAATAGATGCATGGATAGCCATACGAAATTAAAAACTTACAGGATCATGTGCTGCTATGATTTGCTGTTGTTGCTTAATCAGATCGGTTTCTACTTTCACACGGTTTGTTTCCGTCAGTTTAGCTGCCGAAACCCTTAACAGTTCATCCCTGATCGGTGACGGTGGAGCTCTGGCTGCCAAAGACGCTGCACGGATCTGCATAAATAAAAATATTATAATAGAAGCTAATAAATCTTGGTTAATTAGAGGCAATTCCTCCACTGTAAGGTATTACGGTTAACGTGACACCCTGATTACCAAGGTGATCTAAGATCTAAGATCAGGACAGGATGTCCTGACATTTTAGGTCATATTGCTAATATACAGTAAGTTTATGTATATAGGCACAGGTTACCACTTAACAGGCAGGATTTGGGATGATATTTATATATTAGATAATAAGTACATAGTATTTAATGTATTAATTATTCTAATAGCATAAAATAGGAATTAAGCGATTTAACTCTTAAACAAATATCAGTACAATTAATAAATAAATAATATTTTTCTCACCAGAGCTTCTTTCTCTGCTTGCAATTGGTCTTTTTGTTGTGTTTTCTTATTTCGAAAATATGGATTTGGCGGTCCAACAGGCCTGTAATCAATTGGAAAAATAAACTCATCACAAAATGTAATTTAGTCATCATCATCATCATTTCAGCTCGGAAGAGTATCATAAGAGTCTGTAATGGACCTACATGAATAAAGATATTTTGAATTTGCATTTGAAGACGTCCAATGCTGAACTAAGGCCTCCCCTAAAAATCTCCACGACGATCGATCCTACGTTGCACACATTTAATTTATTACCTATGATGAATATGATATGGTTGTGTATGGTTAACATCTGTAGTTGATGATTATCACTATAATAATAATTAAATATAAAATTACATGTTACTAAATATTTAATTTCAATTAATGAAGCTAAGAATATATAGGCCACCAACAAGTTTTGATCTTAGATGCATATCCACAGTCTAGTATCTGAATATTATCTGTATTCTAATAACTTTCTACGCATACGCCTGTCAAGTAGAAATTAGGTAAAGTTAGGTATTTAGAAAAACTCGAAGACTTCGTTTTATACGTAACTTCACGTAGAAAATATGGCCGCAAGATGCTAATTAAAGAAAGTGTACGTTGTTGTGCACTGCAAAATACTTCGTTATTTCTCTTAATCACGACAACTTCCAAGAAATATTTTTTTCTTTGTTGTTGTAACGAAAATTTAATAATAGCTTCTTTTACTTTCATTATAAATAAAAATGCTTATGTAAGTCAAATGTAATTATAATCTCTGCGTCTAAAAACATTAATATTATGGTTGAAATAAATAAAACATTGTTCTTTGCGAAAGAGTGAGTTGTTTCATTACAATAAAAAAGTGAAATTATTAGATATCCCAGCATTTAGGAATAAAATATTATAATTATTGTAGCTTCTACTCATAATGTCGCCAATATGTGATTTAAAACTTCTTCTGAGTTATTATGAAATTAAATAAAAATTGTGACATAATATTTTTTTCTTCCATGCAACTGCAATTGTATACAAATATTCGATTACTTACAGAAGAATAAGTATGGTACTATACATTTTTTATCAGACCAGAATCAATGGACCTGTGTTAGCCACAGGTAACAAAATGCATCGATGTAAGAAATTAAATATTAGAAACAAGACATAAGTGTGGTAATAGTAAATAAGGAGAGACCATATTCAATATTGGAAACTGAGGAATGGAAATGGGTCACAATAATAATAATAAAGAATAGTTTAAGAATTAGGTACTTGGTCGGAGTGACCTGAATTAAACCTGAATTAAATACCAAATATTAAAAAATAAAAATTGATTTAAATACCAAAGCAGTAAAATAAAATGAAGAATTTATAAAAAAAATTGTCTATGCATTAGTAATATTAGAACACATTATTTCCGGAATGAAACAAAAACAAGAAACAATAAAACTAGATAACCTATTATAGAGAATGACTAATATAATTTCACTTACCTTCCAGCAGTAATAGGCCCCAATCTTTGGCCCGTGTTGGGAGATAAATGAGCTGCATTAGGCGCGACTACAGTTGGAATGACATTGCTTGATGCGTATTCTCCGACATTTGCTGATTGACCTGTTATTAAATTTATATCATTCCAAGATTGAATGGAGCTCAGCTTCCCAATAGAAAGAAATCATACAGAATTATGTGCCAAAAATTGTCACAAAATGATTTTTTTGTAACAACTTTGTCTGCTCTTAGCATAATAATATATTTATTGCATCAATTATCTTTAGTTCGTCTGTTCGCTTAGACCTTTAAAGTATGTTTATGTATATTTTAATTCATAAGTTGAACAATTGTCGTTCTAATATCTGTTAGAATATCAATATGGAATACCACTAGTTTACGACAATGCCATTCGTTTAATACAAAGGATAGAATAGAAGACGAAATAGACAGAGAAATAGTATTACCTGGTGGCATACCCAATCCCCAAGCGTTGATGTCGTTAAGATCATTCATGTGAGGTTTAAAGTTGGATATGGCATTGCGATGAATATCCGAGGCTAGATATCTGAAACACAAGGGGAATTGTTTTATAAAATATTATAAAAAAACACGTAGTAAAAATTGTAGTTAAAGAAAAATTTATGTTTTCTTTACCTACATATATCCAGATATAGATAGCTAAAGAAAACACTGTAACTAATAACGCTATATGTATAATATAAATAGAATAAAATAATTGTTGTAACAAAAATATGACAGGTCTTTAGAGTAAGAATTTAATAAAATGATAAAGGACAAAAGTACAGAACGATAACGTGCAATCATATATAAGTAAGTAAGAGTAACGTAGTCGATAAGTAAAAAACAATGTTACCCACATCACTAAGTAACATTAGAAGAAGAAGAAGTAAAGAAAAATCATCTATTAGCACGGTCAAACGAAACAGAAATTATACAAGTACAACAAGAATTAGAACTCACTCATTTGGTTTGGCTTATGTAGTTCGTGTTTTATTTATGTTAGTAATAAAGTCGGTGGTCTAGCGGTTAAGCACACCGATTTACTTCCGATCTTCGCGTGTTCAATTCCTCGCACTTTTGTACTTATGAGTTAAGCTGTTTCCTATGTATATTATCCTACTATGTAGTATACTTATATATAGTAATATATAATATATATATATATATATATATATATATATATATATATACTCCTATGCATATTATATATATATAATCCTGTGGATGTTTTCTATGTATATTACGTGTGTATTTACAAAACAAATATATTCAAGTATCGTCTAGTACCCATATCACAGATTTGCTTTACTTGGGACTAGATGGCGCTATGAGATTTATCCTTGGTTATAAAAAAAAATTATCGGGTCAACATGAATAATTGTCATTGACAAATAAAGATATTTGATAGTCACGACCTGACTGGAGTACAGAGATGTCGGTAGGTGCTAGCAGATTTTTTTTAACTAAAGCCAGTTTGTGATTAAGGCATTCTAGTCACTCGTTTAGTTTAAATATATCTAATGAAATTATAGTTGACTATTGTATTGATACTCACTCACTGCCAAGTCCAGGACCTGATAACTCCCAATCTTGATTGTAATGATCTACTGATGATGATGGTGGACCTTCAGCGTGAGGTTTGACAACCAGTGATGAAGCTGGGTAAACGCCGTGACCATAGTGAGGATTCTGTAATTATGGTTTTAGTTAGGAAAATATTTTGACAGGCATTCATTGGGAATAAATTAGGTATTAAGGTCATTGAATTTTGTTACAGACAAATAATCTAGAAAATTGAATTACCCTATAGAAAATCTCAACATATTATATTTTTGTAGAAGTACAGAAAAAATGTTGAAACTCACTTAATCTGTAATTTGAGATATTATAGAAAAAATAAGACATAACCAATGGAATCTGATCTGATGCCTAAGTATATTTTTTTACTATTAAAGTTTCTGACTTTATTAACTAATTCATTGTAAATGTATTAGGTATTTAAAAAACAAGATTAACAAACCTTGTGATGATGTGTAATCAAATGGTGATGGTGATGATATTTCGTAGTATGATAATTCTGATGGTACCACGAGCATAATTTGAAAATATGACTTAATGCAGGGAATAAGAAAAGTAAAAATTTGAGGAACATTTTCTTTGCAGTCGTGACACCGAATATGATAGGCATGACAAAAACCAACTTTAGAGCTATCAGTTTCACAACTAACACAATAGCTATAGCTGCCATCACTAATTTTCTCTTGATGTATTTTTCTGAAATAAATAAAAAAATATTTATTACAATAATAGAAGAGCAGATCATAGTGAAACTCGATCTGAATACATAAATAGAAACGGTTGGTGCAAGTGATGTTATTGCTGGCATTAATACTTAATTTGTAAATGACTTTCGATTCTATTAAAATACCAGAATGTTTTTAACAATCTGCGCGAGTGACTGCGTCTTATTGGGCCTAACTAGTAAATATGCAGTAGTGTAAAGTGTTTAGTAAAAAGTGTCTATGCAATTCCAAATAATAAGCGTATGTATAATAAGACATAAAAACGGAACTAACAAAATAAACTTACTTTCGCATTTATATTAATAAAGAATTACACGTATTCATAATGGAAAAAATATTGTGGCATGCTTAATTATGATGCAGGTTTTTGTTGGCGTGCGTGTTACACATGATTAGTTGTGAGTATCCGATTTTGCTATCTCTTTAAGTAGTAATAACTATTTTTTTCTCTAAACATTGCCGGCTAAATATGGGGTACAGTTTTTTACACCAGAATATGTATAATTATGTATAATTCTGCAGATTTTCTACAGAAATAATTCTAGACCTAGCCTTTGTGGAAAAATATGGCCTTAAATGCAGTTTCTGAATAAAACAATCATATCAGTATCTTATTAAAGGCATATAGGCATCTATGTATATATAAATGAAACAAAAAAACAAGATAAAAATAGACATTTTTAACATATTCATATTATATTTTTACTTACTAATTTTGTGGAAAAATATTCTGCCGTGTTCCATTACATCTCTAGGTTCCAAATCTACATGTACTAATGCTCCAGTCTTAGTTAAAGCTCTTGGTGATATTTTCAACGTAGCTCCGTGAAAGAAAAACTCGGGAAGTCTTAATTTCAGGTCATGAGTTGCCATAAATCTCACTCCTTTATCGTATAAAGCGTCTGTTATTTCTTCTAGTGGAGATTCTGAAAAAATAAACATTACTTACTCATTAATGTTACTATCAGAAAGACAGCCTCTATTAGGACTTTAAATTTCCTTCAAAAGACATAAGGGTATCTTAATTTGATTTGTGCTTAGCTTTACGTGAAATTAAAATATGTTCGAAATACTTATTAAATATGTACCTACATAATTATTAAATGAGTTCTCTGATTTAAATATAATATTCGAAGCTAATGAGTTTCTAATCGAGTATTTAGCAGTAATAATTATTATTTTCCATCTACGTAACTTTAATATTTGTCAAAGCATTATCATTTTCTATTAGTGTTTTCTCTATCATTGTTATATGATCGTTGAAAACTCACGTTCCAATTTCCTTAGCAACTGTTCATTTCTATTTTCTAATTGATATTACGAGACAATCAATCTATTCAACATCATCACACTTTTATTACGGAAATGATAGTAGTATTACGACAGTTTCTCACGGTTTCCTGTTACAATGTTGCAGACTATAGTAGAGCACGCATTCAATTTAAATTGCAAATTTTAGGAAGAAAATTATTTACTAGAGGTAGACTGTAAAAAGTCGTCTGCATTAGAGTACCTCAACATGTATAGGCGACAGTGACCTCTTACCATCAAGTGTGCCGACATTTTGTTAACCATTACAATTATGTAAAAAATACAATTTCGAGTAACATTGAAATAAATTAAAAAAAAAAACAACTCAGCACTTTGTAAATACGCAAGCATTGTGACACTGTGCTTATGTTTCAGTAATTTCATGAATTGTATATTACAACTTCAACTATAGTAATCTTCTATTTTATTATATTCATAATTTTTGTTTAAAATAACTTTTCCGTGCCTCATTTTTATTTATAGCTTTTAGTTGTCTTAACTAATTGCACACGTAACTAAATTGTACAATAAAATATAACGTTAGTGCCATAATAGTGACATAATTAATGAGGAAATTATTTTTGTCCAAATATGTACAATATATAAGTTGTAATTCGGATTAGTATTGATAAACTATAGCATAAAAAGCTTTATATATTGCAAGTAAATTGTAAATTGATTATATTTACGGTAAAAGTTCATGCATATGTTAAAATAATAGTAATGATGATTTTCCTCCTATATTATTGATGATTTTCCTCCTAACTTTTGATTCCGTAATTGTTCCAATGAATTAGACATCGTGTTCAATTTTCCTTTCAACATTAGTTGCTTGCTACATTTACAGTTAATCCAAAGCGTGTTGTGTTAACAATTGCAAATTTCATATCGAGTTAGAGCCATGACAGTTAGTTATTTTCAATGGTAGGCACGTACATAGAACATTTCTCAAATTCAAACGGCCCTCAAAAGGTTTTACGGTATTTGATCATCCTTGTGGTTTATGAAATGCTCCGTCAGACGAGCACAATGAGGTTCGTTGGAATGAGGGTTTATGGGCTTTTAAACAAGAATACAATAGTCATTTGCTGCAACTTTCAAATAACAAATCCGAAGCGGAAAAATATCAATACAATGCTTAGGTAAATTAATGGTCTTCATACGTTTAACTTTTAGTTTGTTTATTTTATTTAGATCTTGTCACGCGCCCAGGCGTCGTGCAGGTGCTGCTATTGTAGGAATCTACAAATTTTTTTAACCAAATTGCAGTTGTTGATAATTTGGTTTTTTATGTAAATGTATTTCAGTGGGTTAGATATTTTTAAAGTTTATCCAAAAAAATTAAGTCAAACACAAAAGTACCCAGTCTTATCTCGTTATAAGTTTTGATTTGAATAAATTTGTTGAAGTACTGAACTTTGAATACAATTTTCCAACAATTCCATTATTGTTATAATGATATATTATATTTGAAATATGATAGTTTTCACTTTCAACTTTCATTTGTATCACTGCGTGTGTTTATTTACGTACATACGTATGTACTAATTTTCCTAACTGGATAAAGCTTAGTTCGAAAGTAATTTTGTTTACTTCAGTGAAAGTGAAAGATAACAAAATATGCTGTAACAAATACATTCTTATTACTTTGTTTTAAGGTTCATAACCTAGTATAGCCATAGTCAATGGTCATTTGCTCTTGTTCTTGAATTTGTTTTGAGCGTTTTATAATCTTGTGCAATCATTATGACAATGTTATTATAATCTTTGATCCAAGGTCATAGAGGTTGTATTTGGTTGCATCATAGTTTTGTTATTTTATTCATTATAAATTTTGGTATGTTAGATGTAAATATAGTATTCTAATAGAAGGTAAATAGATCTTTAACATTCTTTTGTACTTTTATAGAGGGACTTTTACTAAGGCAATCTCTAATGCCCTCCCAAAAGCCCTTACCTAATCTTTAGCAATACTGATGTGGAAAGTCGATATCTTATCGATATATATAAGGGTTTACAAGATGGTAATTTATTATTACCTACTAAGTTTCTAATATTTTGAATTGGCATTTAATAATTTATTAGATTATCGTAAATAAGTTCTGCACCTAAAATGTCGTCGATTATATAAAAAAACCATTATTTCTAAAGTTTCAATATAGCGATATAATTTCGGGACATAAATTTAATCTGATTTATTTCGACGGTAAACATTAAGCGTAATATTGACTAATCTTCATACTATGATCTATATAGCTGTAACGAAACCATTATGTTCGAATGTTCAGCATTCATTGCTTATTAGGTTATTGCTAATTGGGTCACAATTTCACAATCGTTAGCACACGAAAGTCCACGTATGCCGTGGAATAAATTTGCATAGTTAAACAATAGTCTATTCCTTAACATTCTTGTCACAAGTCTAAGGTGTCATATTCAATGCACCATTGTAACGAGACCCCTAACTACACTTCGATCCTTTCCCGGCGAAGTTCTGACACATTTTCTGGCTACTACTTTCTTCAGAAAATGTTTGTCATTTGTCGTCAACAATTTGTACAAATTAGCAGCTTTTTAATAATCATTTTAGAAGACAGTAGGGAAAATAACGAATACAGTAAACTTGACTTGCATAAGCTTCTAAAATATCCTACGCGATATTTTTTTAATTTAAACAGCCAAGGTTTATTGTCTTCAAATGAAGACTGTAAGTCGTAAATATTACTATTATATATTAATTTTTAATATAACTTATTATTTTTTCTAAAATCAGAAACACTCGAATTCAATACATGAGTAATACTATTTTAGTATATATATAATAAGTTATATTAAAAATTAAATCAAATTGGGTCGATTTGCGAGATAAATTTATTTGACAATAAATCAGGGAAAGTAGTTTAGAAATATGGAAATAGTATCTAACTTTCTAGGAGCATTTCGTGTTGACCTAGACACTAGCCTAGGACAAAATAATTATAATCTCACCTGAGTTTTCGTCATCGTCAATCTCATTTTCTTCGTCAAACGATCGCCCAACATTTTCCGAGTCTTCTTTATTCCCAGTGAGGTAGATCATATTAGCTTCTTTACTATACTTATTTAAATCAACTTTATTTTTCTCAAAACATACACCACCGCCCAAATTTATATCATCGGCGTAATTAAGTTTATTATCTATATACGAATAGAAGTTTTTCTGTAAACAACTCACTGTTGGATTCACTGTACACTTATTTAAAATGTCGTCCCATAACATATTACCGGTCCTAAACGTCCCATTGTTGTACACTTCGCCAAAGAACTTTCCGGATATTGCTTTAATTATTTTAACTCTTTTACCTATATCGATATCCAATGCTCTTGCATTGTCGTTGGTTACATTTTGACTACAATTTATATATTCTACATTTATAACTAGTATTAAAACTAATATTTTGGTAAAGTCTACAAGTCTTGTCGATTTTGCTCGCCTACATATCAAGCGAGGCTTCTGGAACGCGGTTATTCTAGCCATCGTGAGAGCATCACTGTCAAAAACAATAGGTTAACTTTGTTTATATATTTTTTACAAAGCTCACAAAGGGCATATTTGTCATTGTGAATATTAATTCCATTCTTTTCGTTTCGCAGTTATGAATTTTAATTTTCGAAAGTGACTTGAACATTAGATATTTTGTGTGTTTTCTGCCTGTTGCTGTGTCTTGGATAATTACAATCACATCTGAAAGGATTTCTTCTTGTAACTCATCTGTAACAAAAGAGAAATTTTGTTAACGTCTTAGCGGGAATAATAATCGAAATTTGCATATCTTGGTTCCATGACATTTGCAAAGACTGGTAAGGTTACATACCAAATTAAATAAACGGACCGTAAAATTTTGGAATTGTGTCTAAAATTGTATGGTTTATTATAAGTATATCAATAAAATTTTGGTTTTGAAATGATTAGGTATATCAAGTCATGAACCATCGCAAGAAAGTAAAATGAAAGTATGTATATTATTTTGTAGTCAATTACAAGTATTGCTAGTAAGCTGAGCTGAAACTAAGCCTCAAGCTGGAATTTAGCTGTAAAATATCACTAAAAATTAAGAATGAATTTAATTAATTCTATTAATAAAAAAAAAATACGCTGCCACCAAACAAGAATTACACTGTAAGTCGAAATCATCCTTTTAATAGATCACTCTAACACTCACTTAACAATACTGCCTTACAATTATTAGATATATCTTTGTCTTTTCCTGTACTTCTAACATTACAATGTACATATATTAATGTTTAAGCAATTTATTCTTTATGGTCAATAATAGAGACTACTACTTCAACATAATGACAAGTGAATACAATAATACATGTTTAAAGAAAAATAAAATGAAAGCAATATAATTGTAGTTAGTTACTCAAAGATATCTCAAATGTATTTAGTAGAAATTTCTAGAAAATAGAGGTGTTATATAGACTGATCACATGTTATATATAACAACACGTATTAATGATATACTACACGGAATTAATTAACTGCACGTACCGTTTTGAAAGTGACATTCTGAAATATTTTTAGCAAAAAATTCGCGTGTCGAGGCATAGCAATAACTGGCAAATGCTCGTGTTTTCGTTAATGAAACCAAAGACACGACAATTAACGTTCCTCAAGAAGAAAAAAATAATATTTCAGTGTCAATTATTTTTGGCTTGACGAAAAAATTTAGGTATACCAGTGCCTTAATTTGTAATTCGGTAGTTAGTTTGCGCATTGTCTATCAACCATTTAAGAGTAGCAGAGGCTAACTCATAGGATTCGCAATTGTAACTGTTAAGTAGTAGGTATATAATTGAAAAAAAATGTAGATTTTAATACGTTTATAATGGGAATTTTTACTAACATTGTTATATAATAATATAAGGCCCAGGTTGATTGAATGATATATTGAAAAAAATACAGTCTTTATATACCCAGATGGGGTGACTAAGGTGACTTCAATCTAGACACGCGGTAGCGTGTCAAAGCCGAGTTTCAAGTAAACTGGCAAGCAGCACCGTGTGTATATTTACACGAACCATTTGGAGCCACTTTTGACCCCCTCATAACTCAAAAACTCTTTCACACAAACCTGTCAAATTTGGTTCATATATTGAGACTTGTGAGATAAATATGTGTTCCAAATTTCATAAACATATCTCAAACGGTTATTTAGATATTAATGTCCAAAAATCGTCATTTTTATCACTGATCAACTATAGATCAAAATTATAACCCACTTCCAGATGACCTAGGAAGTTCAAATTTGGCATGCAGATAGGTAATTAGGTGAATATAAAGGAAAAAATCTGAAACTGGTAAATTGTTATCATTTTACTACAATTTTTCACTTTAATTGATTCTATTTCAACTTATACTGGACGAATACTAAAATTCTATGAAAACGTCGATAGCCACGAATTGACATTGATCCCTGGCGAAATATCTCATCTTGTACTGGACGGAAACTAATATTGTATGAAAACGTCGATCATTACCAATTTACGTTGACCCCTTCACATCAGTGTCGATAACTAGCAAACTTCAAATATTGCATTGAGCGGTAAACACTAGTTGCTATAATTTAGATTCTGTCTAAAATATACTCGTACTTATAACTAGGAGTATAGTCGAATTTCGTATTTATTATGTTATTAACTGAGATTTGGTATTAATTATTGTTTCAATATTTAGCGCACATCGATAGTGTAAAATCATTATTTTTATAAATAATGATTAAATAATAGGCATTTCGGTATAGGGCGCCGCGGCGGCGCCGTGTGGGAGCGGTGCGATAAAACTCAATGTTTTGTTTTTCGATATCTAACCTATAAGGTTGCGATTTATGCTACGAAATTCATAGCTTTCTTAAATTATACTTATATATTTGTGGTTATATTATTATTACATTATTTTAGTAAATACGTATGGTATAGACAATAGTTTAAACCAAAAATTAATAACAATTTTAGTATAGTTATAAGTAGGAATGTATAGTTAACTCGAGAATGAGAACTCATTGGTAACAAATTGTTTTCTTGAGAATTCAATAGATAACAGTCAATTTGTTACATAATCGTCTTTACTAACTATAACGTGTCAATACGAAATTTCAGATATTAAATAATGTATATGTTGAAAGAGAACAATTCCGTATTTGCTTAACATATGCTATTACTATCCACAAATCACAAGGCCTTAGTTTTAGCAGTCCTCTTCTCAACATAGGCTCCTCTATATTTAATAAAGGGCAGGTTTACGTTGGACTCTCCAGAGTTAAAACCTTAGATGGAGTAGGTACGTCTTAACAATTTAGATCCAAGTCACGAGAGCTCTATTGTAGAGTACAACCATCTGTGGACGTTATACCGCCCCGATTTGCCCAAAAATTCCTGATACTGAATTGGCAATGCACTTGAACATTTAAAAGTTACAAGAAAATATAGAAAATAACACAAAAAAAGACAATTATACCCCGTAAATATACGAAAATACAGTAATTTATCAAAAATAATTTGGTATTCATTTAGTTATATTAGTTATAAATAAGTACCTCGTATAATTTATGTACAAAAAGTAATGATATCCCATCAAAAACATAAATGTGAAATGATAGCCGAGTTTAATATATATACCTTGATTGTTGACTTCTACGACAAAAGAGATGAGATCTAAATGGGTGCCAAGTTCAATGGTCTGTCCTGAAATGTATTTATAACAATATAAAATATCATTTCTTCTTATAACTTAGGATAATATACTGTAGCCTTCGCAAGTTCTAAACATGTTACTTGTCGGTTCCTATTTTAATATTAGTACTAACTAGCAATAGAAAGTAATAATTGGTATATGAGAACTGGCCAAGTTAGACCTTAGGCTACAGTATATTATCCTAAGTTATAAGAAGAAATGATATTTTATATTGTTATAAATACATTTCAGGACAGACCATTGAACTTGGCACCCATTTAGATCTCATCTCTTTTGTCGTAGAAGTCAACAATCAAGGTATATATCATAATATTAAACTCGGCTATCATTTCACATTTATGTTTTTGATGGGATCTACATTTACTTTAAATTCAATAACACTAATCGCCTCGGCAGTCTAGCGGTTTAGTACACCATCTTACTTTCGATGTTCACGGGTTCTATTAAATCATTTCTATTCATAAGTATAATTGTTTGTATTTACATATTTAAAAAACTGAATTTAACTATCAGTTGTTTAGTACCCACAAATGGTGCTGTGTGTAATATGTCGGGTTATACTTGAAATTATTAGGTACTTTAATGGGGTGGATATATTAAAATATTTTTTGATATAAAGATATTATATTTTAATAAATTTATGTGGTAAATATTGCAGTATATAATTGATAACTGCTTATGTAGGAGCAAAACAACTTTGTTTTCAATGTAGGAGGTACCAGGTAACATCACAATGTAATAAACGTAAAAAGTCCTATTCATGGTATCTACTCGTAGATCGGCAATTGTTATTACTTTCCATCAGGTGGTCCATGATGTTGTTTAACATTACAATTATACATATATAAAAAAAATGTTGTTCACACGCATGGCACGACGCGACAGTAAAACATCTGACCACTGACCGGTAGGCTTGACCGACAGACACACTTTAAGAGAACACTTTTATAATCCAAATGACTCTAGTTTTCCCTTACGATAAAACCGGACCGGTTATTCTGACACTAAGTAATACTTGTTTGACGTGTTAATAGTGAACTTTGAATTATCAATATTTTTGCATTTTGTAATGTATGCACTTGGTTGATTAGCTTTTTTCATAAAAACAAGTAATATACCTATATAATAATGTTATTTTCTATAAAATTAAGAAAACATCCAGAAAGAAAGTTACTAAAACGTTCAATAGAATTAATCTTTATTCTATCGCCATACTTACAATCTAAAAACCAAGGAGTATCTATAATCACGAATCTCTGTAATTTGTATAAAACAAGATTATAATGGTCATGTTATTTTCTATGTTTAATTATAATAAGTAAGTCGGAATGACCAATTACGTAATGATCCACCATGTTTTAGGGAGCAAAATAATTAAAATAGGGAACTAAAAATATAATTTTTCACTTTATTCAAGGCTAGATATTTAGCAATACCTATATTAATTGGGAATAATTGTCGTAGATATATTAAATAAAGTGATACTAATAGACAATTTTTTCTTTTTCTTTATAATAGGTAAATAAATTGTAAACTAACCATTATTATCGCAATAATTATTCGGTTTGAGTTTTTCCTCATAAAAGAAGAACTGATCTTCAATTTGAGCAGTTCAATTAAGCAGAACATGAAAAACAGTTGATACGTAAATGAAGAAAGTTATGCAGTTTTATATAATTGTTACATATTTTATATGATACAATTAACACTTGATATGTATGACAAATTTTATAGCTACTGGCACGCATACGTTATGTGTTAATTACATAAATATAATGGCTTTTTTTATTAAACTTGCTAAAGTCATCCAACGTCACAACTATGTGTCGTTTATGTGACAATGTAACATTATAAGTACATTAATGTTATGTATTACGTCAGATATTAGTTACAGAGATATTATATTATACACCTCTATTAGCAGAATATAATAAAGGTACATAGAATACTTTATGTCAATGACGATAAAAAACAATGGCAGATAACAGTGTTTTGCCTGCAGTAAATGTTGTTTT